ATTAAACTATAATAATTGAGAAATTCAACTTTCTTTCTACAAACATATTCTACACACAGATAGCTCATTTTTCACAAAGTGAAAAAGTACTGTTTTCCTTCTCACTCACTTCCAGTTTCTTCACATTAAGAATTACTTTCAGGTAACAAATTCTCCTAGGAAATACTTTGTTCCTTGAAAGTACTTCACCCAATTTAATATCACATGGCCAAAGAACATGAGTTGAATAAATTAAGAATGACTTAATTATTAAACTAAATAAAAGTGAAGTTAACCAACATGTATAATATATTAATGGTTACAGTGAAGTCACAACTCTTCAAGTCAGATTTCTGCATATATCAATTTCATAAGGTGTTATGTGAGCAAATTCAACATTGATATTTATTTCTGTCTTCAGAGATGAGGTGATATATACAAAAGGTCATATTTAAGACAAGCAAAGCATGCCTATTTAACAGAAATTAGTAATACATTTAAAAAATTTAGTTCAAGTACATATTCTATTTGTAAACTTCATTCTTGAGAAGTTCACTGAATTCAGTTATATTTTGTTATTTCCTTCAAATATGTAACAATGAACCTGGAAGCCCACAGGCAAAAGTTGAAGGAATTCAGAAATATAAATGCTTGTATTTCTCCCTACCACCTGTTTCATTGTATCTATGAGTACCACTCAGATTCTACTATCTCACTGACCTTTTTACCTTCTCTACTACTTAGTCCAGTGAGTACTTCTACCAGGAATTGCCCTGGCGGGGAAGCTCAGTTGACTGGAGTACACACCAAAAGGTTTTGGGTTCGATCCCCAGTAGGGGTGCAAACAGGAGGTAACAGGTCAATGTCTCTCTCTCTCTTCTCTCCCCTGTCCCCATTCCTCTCTCTCCAAAAATCAATAAACATATCCCTGGGTGAGGGTAAAAAAAGTTTTCAAATTGTTTCACTTTCCTGCCCATTTCTTTGACAATGTACCACAGTGAAAGTTCTGGAGGAGCATTTGAAATCTTGCTCCCTGGCATATGTCCTGAGTTTGGGTCAAATAAACATAAAAATTCTTTACGGATTTGCACGTTTTTTACACTGACATTTACTTGGCATAGTCAGCAGGATTCCAAAGAAGCCCACCCAGGACCACTCCATGAACCTGAACCAGTGCTAGGTACAAGCAAGGGCCCTTTGTGCCCCACCAGCTCCCCACTACACATCAGGTGAACCTGGGTGAGTTTCTCTCAGAATTTTGGGTCTCCTTGCTCTACATAGGAGGTCATGACTTTATTTGAGCTGTCCTTAGAAAATTCTCAAGGTGCACAAGGGCACTAAATAAAAGACTCTCTTCAACCTCATTGGACAGGACCTTATCAGGCACCTAACTGCGAATGGACACCTTACTCCTGTCTGACAGATATCAAAGACTCCTTGAAGACAAGAAGCCACCAACACCAGAGGCAGAAAACTATCCCAAGATATCAACAAGGCCTGTATATCTACAGATAGATATTGAATTCAGGAAACATTTTGCTTGGTTATCTTTACCTGACTGCTAATTATATTAGTCACAATAATAGTTATGAAAGGCCATTAAAATCTTGAGACAGCATAGAGACTTGGGCTCAGGATCCCAAGAATACTGGATAAAATAAACTGCAGAGCTGACATCACCCCACTGCCCCTTGTCTGATCCCAAGGACCCCAGGTAGCCAGAAGAAACACTGATAAGCCAACCGTAAGAATGTTACCACCGTTCCACTCCCTGCATGCCCTGCCCCCCAAAAGGCAGAATTTTACCTCACTTCTGCTTGCTTCTCCAACTCCATGTGGAAAATTCCACAAGCCCACCTTTTTGCACAAGCCCTCTTTGTCCCCAACTTATAAAAGCAGCCAGAGCCAGACTCTTGAGTCAGTTTAGAGAACCTTCCTTTACCCTGTGCTGCCTCCCTTGTGCTTGAGCATAAGCTTAATACAAATCTGTCTGGAAATTTCTCTAAGATTTCCTCTTGATTTTTATCTTGGTGAACCCCAAAACCCTAATGCCAGTAACAACCTGATGCCCTCCATTTGCCCTTCTCTTTTTGGGGAAAAAACTGGACTTAATGCAGATCCTGTGGTTAGGGTATTGCTCCATCCCCAGTGGTCAACAGATCAAGACGCCCTTGATGAGACTTTCTAGGAATGAGCCTTCCTAGCACTGTGAGACCACTCTATTTGACCAAAAGATTAGTCATCAATGCATCCTTCAGACTGATTTATGACTAAGGGGAAACTGGACGAAAAAGGGATTCTATAGAAAGTAACCTCTGGCCTGGCCAGTGTAGGTCGGTTGGGTGTCGATGCCTGATCAGGGCAAATGCCCAGGTTTCAGGCTCCATCCCTGGTGAGGAGCTGATGGATGTTGTGCTCTCATATTGATATTTCTCTCTCCCTCTCCATTCCTCTCTAAAAATCAATAAACTATTCTGAAAGGAAGGAAGGAAAGGAGGGAGGGGAAGGGGAAGGG